TTTGTGGTTTTACTTCGAAACATAATTTTATTACTTTAACTTCATCATTTTTCCAAACTCAGGTGTTTCCTCATTGCACATTTATCGGAGTCAAAACTTTTCCTCAGTTCCTGTCATCATTGTTAAAATTTATAAGTTGTTGATTTATTGATTGATTCCTTTAAAATCTATAAAAATCTATAAAAAGATCAGGCATTCATATCAAACTTTACAAAAATACACCCAAACCTCTAAAACCCGGCTGCTGTTTGCAAAAGGCAGAACCAAGATATTAAAGACATGAGTTGATCTGAACGATCCTTTAAATTGGAGACAGAAACTAAAACATTATCAGCTGCAGCCGGTTATCAAAGCTGCTGCTCGGAGCCGTGCGTGTGATAAGGCTGAGGTTTATGATTCGGTTGCTTGTGCAGAATGAATGCAAACAGTGACACTGTGTGACACGGAGCCGATAAAGACTTTCAAAGTAAAACAACGTCACAGTTTCAGAGATCCCAGACTGTGCATTGATAAAGTTTCTGTGCAGGTCACTTGTGTCCAGGAAGGAAACTTCCATCCACACAACAAGTTGAGAAAGGTCAACATGAAAGGTAAACATGATACCTGTTGCTTTCCCTTTGAAAGGTGTGTTGGCTTTAAGGCACTGCAAAGAGACCACACCTTCATCTGTGTGGGAAGGTGGATCAGGACGATTACCAGAAACCTTCACTTGCATGCCTTCACATGTTGAGGGTTTGAGCTGAAGAGCGGCTGCATGAGAGAAAAGCCTGAAACTGAATGGAAACAAGAAAAGTAAGAAGGAGGGTCAAAGGTTATACAAGCTGTGAATATGAATCCTGATCCCGGAGCCACAGAGATGGATTCCTCCTGCGTGACGCCTGGAAATCCCACCTGTGATGAACCAGAGAACCAGGAGCTGGATCCGGTGCTGGTTTGGGTTCCCAGCGGGCAACGTCTGATCTCTGGTCTGCTGGGGATGAACGTGGTCCTGCTGGGGACGGCTCTGGTGGGGGGACAGGCCTTTAACCCCGAGGGCCTGAAGCACCAGGAGCCCCAGGTTTTCTTGCTGCTGCTGATGGGGGTCAGTTTGATCTGGATGCTGTGGTACCTGCTGTGGGCCCGGAAACAACCCGGCATCTGCCCACATAAAGACCACCACGCTGGGGGAATCACTGTCACCTGTAAGCCCCCTGTGTGTCATCATGATGTTAAAATACAGGATTTGTTCTGGATGTCTTAATGGAGTCTACCTTCTTTCTCCTCTTCAGTGGTGCTCATTCTTTTCGCTGCGTTCAGTTCGCTGCTGTTCATCTGCAGGATTGGTTATTTGATCAGCGTGAGGGAGTGTCAGCCGGCTGCTAAAGTGCTCTCTGTGTTCATTGAGGCTCCTTTTCTGGTGCTGCAGGTAAAACCATGTTTACTGTTTGCAAAAAGAAGAGGAAAGAAAATGTGAAGCTGCAGAAAAAACAACAAGACCTGCAATGAGTGCAATCATTAACTTGAACATAAAGTAATCACAGACACAGGATTTCTTTTTTATTTTGTGTATCTTTTACTCAGCAGCAGCTAACTATGTCTATATTGGTAATTATTAGTTAATGCTAAACGTTATGAGATAATGTCAAAGTGAAAATGAAAAAGAATAAATCAAGTTTCTAAGCTGCATGATTGTGCAGGTGAGATTCAAAAGTCAGTCATGCACTGATATTCTAATGTTGGCCTTTGTAACTGGTCGAACCAGTCCAGTGGCTGAATGTCACAGTCTCCTCATCTTTATTTACACAGATCTGACATTTTCATAGGTGTAAAATTTTGATCACTAAATCTTTTTCTGTCGGAACCAAAGATCTTTTGGTGAATTTCCTTAATGCTTCAAATCACAGCTTTGCAAAATCCTGCAAACTGCATTCACACAACCAGACAACACAACACACGTCTGAATGTATAAATATATTTTAGTTTACAAATATAATTTTAAATACTTTAGGTGCAACACTGTTATATTCATTCAAACTTTACAGGATGAAAAAAGGACCTTACACCAACATGTTTGTTTTCCATAGTTTGTCTCTTTTTCTTCTGCAGCATTTCAAGATTTGAATGATTTAAATTATTGTCTTGAATTAATCTTCAGTTTCTGACTGTTTGACTCGAACCTGCTTTTGTTTCACAGACATATTTACTGTGGGTTCACTCCAAAGACTGCATCCACAAACACAAGATCATCACCAGGTGCATCGCTCTATCTACATTTAGACATTTCATACTTTGTACTGGTTGTTATTTCTTGTCCTCGTCCCTGTTTTAAAGTGCTTTTGTGTATTTCTTTATATTTGCATGTTGTGCATCAGGTCTGGACTGATGGTGATTCTATCAGCTGACCTGCTGCTATGGCTCAACGCCGTCACCGAGGACACGATCCACGAGGAGATCGAGTTAGAAAAGAGCGACGGGTTCAAGTTCAGCAACACAAACTCATCTGAGGCAGACGACTCTGATTCCGCAGGTAGTTACTCACAAAACATGAGTGAAAGTACTGCAGATCCTCAACGGCTGAATAAAGACACACGTACACATCAACTGTTTATATTGTAATTAAAACATATTACACGTCTCACTGCATATGATGAGTTCATCTAAACAAGCATATTGGCTGTAAACGTTAATCCACCACGACCCTGGCATTCCATTCATCCATCCATCAATATATTCATCCATTTATCTCCATGTCTATAAATCTATTTCTCTCGCTGAGGAAATTCAGGGACTTCTGTGATGCCCCCTAGTGGTAACATGAGTTCCTTAGTGAGAGAAGCATCTTTGTACAAGGTGAATATTTGTGCGACCTTCCATCCCTGGTTTGTACTGTTCATCGTAACAAGTGTATTTCTGCCTCCAGGTAACTTGACGCTGTGTCGCTGCAGTGCGAGCGCCGCCTGCCTCACCTTCAGAAAAGGCTTTGAGATCTTGTACCCCTTCAACATGGAGTTCTACCTGATGGCAGGCTGCATGATCTATGTGATGTGGAAGAACGTGGGCCGCAGGACCAGTCCGGGTCACCACGTCTCCCAGAAGCTGACCCTGAACATCGTGTACCAGGGCGGGGTCATCTACGGCCTGGTGTTTGGAGGCCTGGTCCTGGCGGCAGGAGTGACGGTGTTCATCCTCTACCAGGTGTGGGTGAGCCAGCAGCACCTTCGCATCACAGCCTTCCTCATCTTCTACGGCTTCCATTTAGCCGTCATGCCCGTCATGTCGTTCTGCTCGCTGGCTGGGATGCTGGTCCACAGGCTGGAGAGGAGGGCCCACGAGGGAGGACTCAACCCGACTCGGAGCCTGGACGTGATGCTCCTGGTGGCGGCGGCTTTGGGCCAGCTCGCCCTCTCCTACTTCTCCCTGGTGGCGGCCCTGGCTCTGGGGACCAGCGGGCCCCTGGGGGACCTGGACCTGTCCTACTCCCTCCTCAGCCTCCTGGAGCTCATCCTCCAGAACATCTTCATCATTGAAGGCCTCCACCGGCACCCGGACCTGTTCGCCAAGAAGAAGAAGAAGCAGAGGAGCAGCATATTTAAGGTTCCTGAGTTTAATGTTTAGTAAATTGATATGAAAAGGTTTTGTTTAAATAATAAACTCTCCCGCAGCCAAAGAAAAAGGTGACGACACCGACGCAAGAAGAGAAGAAGGCGGATATCTCTCTGCTGGAGGGAAACACGTCAGCACCCCCTGCTGTTCAAGAGCATGATGAGAAAAAGTCCTGGCACAAGAGAGCGATACAAGAAATCTGTGCTTTCCTCATCCTGTCTAATATCATGGTAACGTCATGTATGTTTGTTACAAAAGAAACGCGTGTTCTTTTGTCTCATGTAACTGACGACATGTTCCCACCTCTTCCAGCTGTGGGTCATCCCGGCCTTCGGAGCCCACCCTCAGTTTGAGAACGGCCTGGGGAAACAGTTCTTCGGCTTCAGCGCCTGGTTCATTCTGGTGAATCTGGGTCAGCCGCTCAGCGTTTTCTACAGGATGCACTCGGTGGGAGCTTTACTGGAGCTGTTCATCACTGCATGACGAGCAAACACGGAACACGTGGAGCAAACAGGCAACACACACGCAGGTTATACTTTACATGGACAGAAGTATGTGGACGTCAATGTGCTGATGAGGTTGTTGTTCCTTAGGGTTTGAGATTGTTGGAGTAGGTTTGTGTTTGTCCACTTCCTGTTTCAGTATGGCGATGTTCACGTGCACGATGCCCACGTGCACAGATCCGGCTTCATGAAGAGGCGTCTCCACAGGATGGCGCGGCTGCAAAGATTGGGAAGAAAACTACAAAAAGGAAGAACATGCCAAAAAAATCCAACATTTCAAAATGGTCAGGAGGTGAGAGGTGAATAACTGCATGAAACGTTTAAACATGATCACCCTTTAAGATTGTCCCCATGATCCAGATGTGCAACATTTAATTCTTTCCTGACTCCACATCCCTCCACCAGGTTTCATTTAATACGTCCAGTCGTTTTGTGCATTATAATAATAATAACGAACACAGATGAACACAAGGTTTCTCTCTTACTCATGAAAAATGAGTAATTTTTAATAATCGATTTTTTACTTCAGTAAAAGAACCAACACATGAAAATACAAATCCTCCGTTACAAAGTCCTGCATCTTAAATCTCAACAGAAAAATGTTGTTCAAGAGACAAATAAAAGTAAAATGTATAATTCTTGTTTGCTTTGGGCCCAAATATA